TTTTTTTTTTGAGACAGTCTCACTGTGTCACCCTAGGTAGAGGCCGTGATGTCACAGTTCACAGCAACCTCAAACTCATGGGCTTAAGCGATTCTCTTGCCTCAGCCTCCTAAGTAGCTGGGACTACAGGCACCTGTCACAATGCCCAGCTATTTTTTTGTTGTTGTTGTAGTTGTCATTGTTTAGCAGGCCTGGGCTGGGTTCTAACCTACCATCCCTGCTACACGTGGCTGGTGCCCTAACCAGTGAGCTACAGGCTCTGAGCCCCCTCCCTCCCTTTCTTCTCTCCCTTCTTTCCTCCCTGCAACTAACACCTCTCTAGTGGAGTGGGCAATAATTTAGAAGTTTCAAATAGCTTTTTAAGAAACGGAGTGGCAGGCCAGGCACAGTGGCTCATGACTATAATCCTAACACTTGGGGAGTCCAAGGTGGTCAGATTGCTTGAGCTCAGGAGTTTGAGACCAGCCTGAGTAAGAGCAAGATCCCCATCTCTACTAAAAATAGAAAAACTAGCCAAGCATTGTGGCTGGCACCTGTAGTCCCAGCTACTTGGGAGGCTGAGACAAGCGGATTACTTAAGCCTGGGACTACTGAGACAAGACAATTACTTGAGCCCGGGACTGCTGAGACAAGACGATTACTTGAGCCAGGGATTGAGGTTGCATGAGCTATGACTCCATGGCACTCTACCCAGGGTGACAGAGTGAGACAGTTGTCTCTAAATAAGTAAATAAATATCCTACCTTTTCCTTTAGGATCATAGATTAATCAGCCTATAAGAGAATGTTGTGACATTAAGTCCATTATCTTTACTTCTAGAAGCCTTGAAAATATTAAAGATGTGGGCACCTTTTTTTAATATAAACAACCTAAAAATAATCCCAAAGTGGTTTCCTTAAGAAGGTGGGCAGTTTGTGGTAGTTTCTGTATTGGCTAGATTTTATAACACACACAGTTCTTCAACCTGTGGCCATTTGTTAAGGGACTGCCTGCCTGGCGTTATTCCATCTACATTAAAAAAAATTGTATGGTCTTTTTTGACTGCATGGTAGAGGAAGCGCAGGCTTCCTGAATCAGGAAAGAAAGTTAACATGGTGAAGTGGGGGAAGGAAGGAACCAAAAAATAGTTCAGTATCACTATGCATTCTAAAGGTAATCATTCTCCAGTAGACTTTTTCCTGTTTTGAAATGAAGGTTATTAGTTCATCCCTATTATTGAGGCTTTTCTATACTCAGTGTATAATGAGTCACTGAGTTAGTGAAATTTTAAGTGTGTTCCCATTGCATCAAAAAATTGTACATTGTAAAATTTGAAATTAAAGTTGTGTTCTAATGACACTGTCTGGTTTTCATTTGGGAAGTGACTGAGGATACCTGTAATGCAGATATTTCTTTTGAAGTCTAACAATCATCACTCTTCTTTCATCTCTAGGACAAAGCAACAACAATTCAGATACCTGTGCAGAATTTCGAATAAAATATGTGGGTGCCATTGAGAAGCTGAAACTGTCTGAGGGAAAAGGTCTGGAAGGGCCACTAGACCTGATAAATTACATAGATGTTGCCCAGGTAAAAAACAAAACAAAATAAAAACAATATTCCGATTTAAAGCCCCTGGTTATGAGATCCTGTAAACTCTTGGCTTTTGAGAAAGCTGTTTGCTCTTCCAGGCCCACTGGATGGCGCTGTGCTCACTAGCTTATCCTGAAGCCACAGTTTCATTGCCTTTACAAATATTTACGAAGTTCTCTGGTCTTGGGTTGTGTAAAGTGTCTTGGAGATTGAGCTGCACAGGAACAGTCACTGTTCCTGCCCTCTGACATAGTATTTTACTTTATGTTGCTGACCGATTTCCTTGTTTAAATGAGGAGCTGACTGTATCGACTGGTTACATTCCAGAGGTCTTCCTTTTGAAATAGTCTGTCAAAACCTTATATCTCCACTGAACTCATTTCATCTCTCAATCTAATTCATAGTGATGTTGACCTGTTTGTTCATATCTTGTTTCTAACAAGAAACAGGTGAGAGTAGTTTCAAAAATACTTATCCATGTCAAGATGATGAAAAATAAATCATCATGAATGAAAATTAAGATGAATTACAGGTGTAAAGTTAGTGCATAAAATATTATAAGGTCTATACTTTGCCAGAGGTGGAAATGGATGAACCAAAGGACTAATAGTAAACTACTTCCAAAGTTTCTAGAAAACAAAATTGCATTTTCATGTATTCATTAACAAAGAAATAATTACTGCAGTGCAAAGTCTTTCACAGGGTGTTTATCTTAAGAATGTATGATCTTAAATCATAGAGAATGAGAGCATTAAATAGGATTCACATCTTCACAAAAGTAATGGAAATTATTTCTGTTTGATGGGAATCAGTGAATCTAATTTGCCACTTAACAGAGAACTCTTGGTAGTCTAGGCTCACATGATTAGTATCCTAGCACTGAGTTTGGACTATTGGAGTATAAAGTCATTCCACCATAGTACATGACGTCGTCACCTGATAGCATCGGGAAGTTTTTGCTAACTGTGACTTTAAGTGGAACAACTTACAGCAGGTTCTCAAATAACACATTATTCAGAGTTGTTTCATTGTAATGTTGATAAGGAAAAGAACTGATTTCATTATGTATACATCTTTTAGCTTGAAGTAGTTGTTTTCTAAGAACCTGTGAGTGATGTTGAAGACTTACTGTACAAGCAACAACTAGTCTAAGTATTGTACTGAATGACTACTAGTATTTCTCCTCCCAAATGCACTCATATTATGTCCATTCCTATAATAACTGTTAAATTTCTCACGTTGCCATAGAATTTTTGCTTGTTATAATTCCATTATTGACAATAGCATTTGATTTTGACTCTTGGAATTGCTTTAAACTTAATGTGACAATGATTGGTAAGAGGGTACTTATAGGGCTGGGCGTGGTGGCTCCTGCCTGTAATCCTAGCACTCTGGGAGGCTGAGGCAAGTGGATTGCTCTCAAGAGTTCGAGATCAGCCTGAGCAATAGCGAGACCTGTCTCTACTAAAAATAGAAAAACTGAGGTAAGAGGCTCACTTGAGCCCAAGAGTTTGAGGTTGCTGTGAGCTATGAGGCCACAGCACTCTACAAAAAAAAAAAAAAGAGAGAGAGAGAGTACTTGTAACATTGTGAGGACCTAAGAATTAAGGATTATTTACCATAATTTCTTAAATGTAGGCAAATGGCTCCACAAAAACATTTATAATATAGAACGTCTACTGATTAGGCAGTATTCGGATTTAGGAGATAAAACTAGATAGTCCACTGGGGACATCATCAGGTTTTATCTGCCGTTGTACTCTGAGTAACTAAAAACACAGATTGTTTTTGTGAACCGTGTTTAACAACTGTTCATCAGCAGCATTTGCCAGCCTGACACCCTGAGGCCTGGGGTTAACCAGACACATCCCACCACCTGCGTAGACACAAAATGATTGTGAGGAAAATGCTTCTTGTGCTCTTGTTTCCTGATCACCCCACATGCTGACATGAGCATAAGCCTTGAGTGTTTCAGAATTGAAAGACGGGCCTTTATTTTTCTTATGTTTAACTTTTTATCTCACCAGGATCTGTGGGAATAATCTCAGTTTGTGATTAGGGTTGACACCAGGGCCAAGACAAAGGGACAGAGATATACGTGAAGTGGATGGACTTGAATTTTGCTCACATTTGTGGGCCATAAAAAGTGGGATAGGCTCAGTGCCTGTAGCTCAGTGGTGACAGCGCCAGCCACATACACCAAGGGTGGCGGGTTTGAACCCGGCCCAGGCCAGCTAAACAACAACTGCAACAAAAAAATAGCCAGGCGTTGTGGCGGGTGCCTGTAGTCCCAGCTACTGGGTAGGCTGAGGGAAGAGAATCACTTAAGCCCAAGAGTTGGAGGTTGCTGTGGGCTATGATGCCATAGCACTCTCCTAAGGGCAACATACTAAGACTCTGTCTCCAAAAAAAAAAAAAAAAGTGGGGTAGTTGTTCTGCTTTTTGGAGAAATTCTTGCCCAGCTAATGTGTACCCCACATTTTTTTTTGTAGAGACAGGGTCTTACTTTATGGCCCTCGGTAGAGTGCCCTGGCGTCACACAGCTCACAGCAACCTCCAGTTCCTGGGCTTAGGTGATTCTCTTGCGTCAGGCTCCCAAATAGCTGGGACTACAGGTGCTAGCCACAACGCTCGACTATTTGTGTTGTTATTGTAGTTCAGCTGGGGCTGGGTTTGAACCCACCAGCCTCGGTATATGGCACCCTACTCACTGAGCCACAGGTGCCACCCCTGTACCCCCACATTCTTTAAAGAGTTTTTTAGGTTTGTGACGGCCAGATACTAAATGTGACTAATCCAACTTAAGACTATTAACATAATTTTAATATTTATCATGTAATTTGTTTTTACTATAAAGCAAGATGGAAAGTTGCCTTTTGTTCCTCTGGAAGAAGAATTTATTATGGGAGTTTCCAAGTATGGCATAAAAGTATCAACATCAGATCAGTATGTAAGTAATTTATTAAAGAAAAAAACTGTCTTTTAGATAAAAGGGAATTCAAGCCATTAATAGCCCACTTACAGTAAGGTCTGCTCCTGTTTGCTGAGTGGTTGGTTTGTAAACGTTCCTGGCAGCTGGTCTCAGATGTGACCAGTTCCTGAGGGTGGGTAGAGGCACCTCCTGTGTAGATAGGGCCTCTGTAGCCCCCCACTATGGCTCCTGGTGCATTTTCAACTTAGGACCTCACAGCAGTTAAGAGTAGCTGTCAGCTTATAAGGAGGACACCGAAACAGGGATAGTTTAGATCACCCTACCCTTGTCTTTCTGGGATTTAAGCAGGAGGGTGTGACCCTGAAGGCAAAGCGCCCCTTAACGGGGCATAAGGAAATGTCCCCTGGGGTGACAAACCTACATGGCTACTTCCTGTCAGATCCTTGGATGTGCTGTTCAGAACCTCACAATAGAGTCTGCTTGGAAACATGTCATAGGAACTGAGAAACATTGAAAACAGTCCTGATCTTTTTGCATTTTTCCTGATTTCTGCAGGATGTCTTGCACAGGCATGCTCTGTATTTAATCATCCGGATGGTGTGTTACGATGATGGTCTGGGGGCAGGAAAAAGCTTATTGGCTCTGAAGACCACAGATGCGAGCAATGAAGAATACAGCCTGTGGGTTTATCAGTGCAACAGCCTGGTGAGACTTTTAAGTTTCCTTGGTTAGTTTCCTATTCGTCAAGTGGCAAAACCAGACTTACATTCTTTTCAAAGGCTGAAGAAATGCTTTGTATTATGTATCTACCACCTAGCCAGTGATAATGAATATTAGGCCATAGGTCTGACAGCTGCCCTAACTTAGTGCAGGTTGTGAACTATTTATATTAGGCCCAGTAGCAACACTCACTTATACCTGCATTTAAAGGTTTGGGGGAAACGTTTGGAGGAAATGTGGGTGTTTTCTGTGGGCCAGAGGCTCCCTCCGTTTCTGTATTTTGTCCTTCCTGACTCAGCACCCTGCTCACCGGCTGCAGTATCTGTGTGTGCTCTTCTCTAAAGGAGGCGGATAGGGCCCCACTGATCCAGGCAGGCATGTGTAGGCGGCTTCCAGAAGTGATGGGCAGGTTGAGGGAGCCATCAGAAGCGTGGCCTCTGTTTATGCCTCTTGGTCAAATTAAGTTCAGAAAGAGATTTGTGAATGTTGTTCTTACTGCATCTTTTCACATAATGTAGGAACAGGCACAAGCAATTTGCAAAGTTTTATCTACTGCTTTTGACTCCGTATTAACATCAGAGAAATCTTGAATTCTGCAATCAAGTGGAAATCAACTTCATCTGAAAGCTCAGCTGTTTTCAATCCGTAAAGTTGAACTGTTATGGAAATAGGTGAGCCCCTGCTCTAGACTTTCTGAAGAAAACACAATGTATAAAATATTGAACATTCGTTTTTATAATAAAATGTGTTGTTATACAGTGAGTTTACTCTCAATGAAGTCATCTACTTTCTCCAGTAAAAAAGAAACACTTGCCATTTTCAAATAGAAATAAACTTAACACCTAAGTGTCATAGATGTCCACTCAGTAAATAGCAAACATTGAGGCCCTGTCTGAGGGAGACGAATGTGCACTGTGGCTGCTTCTTAGGGAGGCGCATCACTTGATTATAAACAGGGTGGAGTGAGTTAGAGGTTTAGACTGGGGACTTGGGTTCATGCTGGTGTGGGGCAGTGATATTGCCAACTTTTTAAAAGCATATTATCAATATGCTAGTAAATCTCAATTTTTGGGGGAGGGGGGTGGACAGAGTCTCACTATGTTGCCCTTGATAGAGTGCTGTGGCGTCACAGCTCACAGCAACCTCAAACTCTTGGGCTTAAGGGATTCTCTTGCCTCACCCTCCCAAGTAGCTGGAACTACAGGTGCCCGCCACAACGCTGGCTATTATTTTTTAATTGTAGTTGTCATTGTTTAGCTGGCCCAGGCTGGGTTTGAACCCGCCAGCCTTGGTGTATGTGGCCGGTGCTATAACCACTGTGCTATGAGCGCTGAGCCGTAAATCTCAATTTTTATCTCAAAGAGTTGAGAGAACCTTCAAAGATGACTGCTCATGCTACAAGAACTGATATTTAAAGGATCTCAGGTATAATAATATGTTGGTATGCTTTTTTTTAAAAAAAGGACTGTTAGTATACAACACTATAAAGATTAAAAACATTAAAAATAAAACCATATCCATTTAAAAGTATTTTATTTTTTTCCAGTCAAGTGACTAGTTAACAAGAAGAGTAAACTTATTAGACATGCTCTAATTATAAATCACTGCATTAAGGACAATGAAAATAAGAATCAATTTAGGTTATACAATATATACAGTTGCGCTGCAACTAGACCAAAGTGAATGAATTGATTATCATACATCTCAAACAGCATCCTAAGCTGCATCTTGTTATCCACCCCTTAACAGGTCACACAGTTACTATTAGTCTGAGCACATATTTCTGAGTCATTATCCCTAGAAGTCAGATCTAATGGAAAATGGCAAGCAAAATGCCAGAATCCTGCAGCTCAAGTTCGTAAACTTTAAATATAAATAGATATCTACAATGTTTCCTTTCAGTTGCTTTTTTTTTTTTTAATTTGCAAAGAGCAAATAACTATTAGGGAAGTTAATATAATTTTTCCTCTGGCAAGAGTACTACTAATTACTGCACAATAGCACCACCAAATTGTAGGTTGGAAAAATATTTCCTAGATATTTATGTACCAGTGAACCTGATAGAATAGTTTGGAGTTCAAATGCTGATATGAATCAGCTTTCTTCCTTACACAGCTGGCCCCAGGTGGTCAGCAGGCTGATTGTAAGACACAGATGAAGGAGGACTGTAAAGTCGGATAAGTGCACTGTGCAAAAGGTATGTTTACTTCCTGAATCTAGGAGAAAATTAACTAAATGAGGGGTTCAACCAACAGAAATTAACAATTAGTGAAAATAGATGTAGTGCTTTAAAAGAAGACTTTAATTATAGATCTAACACATGTTTACCTGGAACTTGGAAAGGCAAAAAGCAACTGCTATACAACATCATAAAGCATTCCAGTTTGTTCTGTCTTCTTTTATAATAGCAATAAAAAGTACAATGTCAAGAGAAAAGAAAAAAAAAAAAAGATCTCTACACTTCCAAGTATCTTGCACACTAAAGGCAGGCTGCTTCAATCCAATGTACCATCATAACAGATGCAGTAACTGCATTGTTTCCTCGCTTTCCGAGCCTATACGTAAAATTTATTCCTCTGTTTTTGTTAGAAGTCTCAAGTGGGCATCATATGCCTATGCTCAAAGAGTGCTAGAATTTCCAATATTCCTACTATGAATCTTGTCACAATTACTAAATAGAGGTATGACAGTCAATTTCGTTAAAACTAATGAGTTTTGATGTTATAATATACAACCTAATCCCCCCTCCCCTCCTTCCCTAAGTAGCTTAAGGTTAAGAATGATATGATGCCCTTAAATAGTAAAAACTGGGATGTTCGGGGATATTTTATTACCTGGATATACAGATTTCTGATATGCTTTTGATTATAAACAGATGGACAGATTAAATTTCAAGACAGTATTAACTACCATTCCTGTTGGGATATTATATAAATACAAGACACTAAACTGAGTAAACATTCTCATGGGTAGGAAGGAAGGCAGTGGTATACACGACAAGAAATAGCAGGTGACACGTGTTAATATATCGTGGTTGGCACCACGGAAAATTCTACTGTGTACAGTTGATTTCTGTGTGATTAAGAAAGTTAAGAAGGCAAATTCCAAAACATCTAAAGCATATAAACTAGTTTATAGAACTGTTTTGCAATCCATCATCCTTAGTTTTTAACCAAATTCAGGAAATGCAGTTTTATATATGACCTCCTGGAATTGGACTGACTGCAAATATTGTATGTTATAATAAACCATCGGTAGTTTTGTTAAGTATGATCGTTCACAATGACAGGTTATACACACATGCAGAAGATAATGACAGCTGCAACCTCACAAATTAGGAAGTACAACGCTAATGTGTCAATTTCCAAGTTGCTTTAAATAAGTATTGGATGGGTTTCAGAGGAATATGTGTCTTTAAAGGTGAACTGATGGCATCTTACTGAGAAAGTCCAGGGCTGGGTCATGGACCCCTGAAGCAGACAGAGGGGGTATGTGCTTCCTAAAATAGTAATTGTGCAAAAAAGATCAACTGCAGAACTGGGCCAAGGGGCCACAGGGCCACGGAAAGCAGGAAGAATTTATTTCTAATATTCTTAAATTCAAATATTTTGAGGTTTTACTAATCTATAAATGCAGGATCTTGATTATGTAGTTAAAATAACTTCTCAGTTCACCTTCAGGAAATTCATTTTTTCCTAATAAAAGCATAACAATGTTTTATGAAAACCACAAATTATAAAAAACTATTTATGTGTAAAAATTGTCTTTGATTTTAAAAACAGAACAGTAGTATTAGAGAAAATGGGCTACCGTACAATACAATTCGTGGAACTGGTTATATCTGGCAAGAGTTTTGGAACCAACAACAAAAGAGGAATGTAACTGTTGTAAGAAATGCTTTTGTTCAGTAGCAATTTAGTCAGCAATAAAGTGCACAAACGATACAGGGAATGCTCCTTTGCGGCTGGGATCTCCATCAATGTGGCCAATCTGAAATGAGTAAAAGTTTAGGTTATAAAAACTCCAAATGTTGGCAACTTGGAAGGGCATTACATATAGCATTTGGGGAAACAAAGAACAGATCTGTTCAGAACAATCTCTTCTGATGATTAGTTACTTGGGTACAACATCGAAACTACTTTCTGCTTTTTTCTTCACCTGTACTTGCAGTAGTGTGTGCCTCCTGTGAGAGGGACTCTGACCAGCGTCTGCTGTGAGGACGGCACTCCATCTGGGCCTGCAGTCCCTGGGGCACATAGGTCAGCCGGCTGACTACCACTCCCCGTCTGCCTTTTTATTTTTTACATCTTATTTAACATAGTTTTATTTCAAGTTTTTAAAGTACTTGGGAATTTTTAGTGCATTCATGAGCACATATTAAAATTCAATTTCAAATTTAATGAAATTGAACACAAAAATAACATGGAATGAAGGTTTTTGTACTTGGAGCAATCATGTTATGCAAATTTATTTTTATTTTTTTTGCAGTTTTTGGCCAGGGCTGGGTTTGAACCCACCACCTCTGGCATATGGGGCCAGCACCCTACTCCTCTGAGCCACAGGCGCCGCCCCATGTTATGCGAATTTTTATTAAATCATAACTGTATACATTTGAAGTTTGAGAGCTACACAGTCACAGAAAGGAGTGACTTGGCTCCATTTAAACTGAGTCAACCATTTCTGGAAGCCCTTAATACATCCACTTACCTTCATTCACTCTAAGTAACTTACATAAATTATATCCAAATATGATCTCAATAATGTAAACTATGTAGGCCAATAAAAGTCTTAATAAAAACTGCCAAAATATAAATGGTAGGGTTCTGGGGGGTAGGAGTGAAGGTAGCAGGCTGTGATTATTTACAACATTTATTTTCTTCTTTATACCTTTCTGTGTTTTCCAGAGTTTGGGAAATGAACAGGCATTTCCCATATGGCTGAGCCTGTTGTAGTTGAGCTCCCAACCCCAGCCCCATTTCCACTGTTCACACTGGGGAGGTAGCAAGTCTGGGAGCTCACACCCTTGGTGCAACAGGCACTCACCCCTCCCTGGAAGCCAGGAACCCAAGAACCCAGGAGCTGCCTGTGTCCCTTTCTTCACCTGTGCTACCACAGCCCACAGGCGCTTTCCATCCCTCAAGGGGAAATGAAGCCCGGAGGAAGACTGCTGGATCCAGCCAGGCCAAAAGCAGAGCTGCAAGGCCCTGAGTGTGCACAAAACCTCTGGGGGCCAAGAGTTTACGGTTTAAACAGGTGGGAGCTCTGCTAGGGACAGGATCCAAACTCTTGCACTTGTCAAAGCAGAGCAGTTTCTGTTAGTCCTGTCTGAGTCATCACTTGAGCTATCCGCTAGCTGAGCTCCACCTGCAGGGCTAGACCATCAGCACCAGGCGCTGGCATGGGGCAGACGCCACCCAGCATTATGCACACACTCTGCTCACTATCAGTCCTTCCACCCTTAGCTCTCGGCAGCTGCCTCTCAGTGCATACTCACTGCATCATCCTTACAGGGCAATGGGTAAGCTCCCTTTCACAGATGTCACTAAAGCTTAAAGATAAAAGCAACCTGTCCCAAATCAGGGTTGAGTCTGAATTCTTGGCCTCTCCAGGGGAATCACAGATCATCTCGCTCCTGATTCCAGCTGATGCTTGAGTAGCCCACAGCTCATCTCAGGACCAGACCAGCACCTAGCGATTGTGTCCTCTAGGTCAGTTCTTTCTAGACACCTGACTCCCCCAATCCAGCAATGGGACAGGTAATGCCACAGAAACTCAAGGCCTCAAAATGGAAAGGTCTCATTTGAGGCCCTCAAATGAGGACAGAAACCACCCTCGGGGATAATTCAGGCTGGTTCAAAAGTGGCATCCACAGAGAGATACATGAGGAAGCCAAGGGGCAGAGCAGTCAGTGACCTGAGGACTGAACAATGGCACTAGGACTGGGCTGCTCTGACTGAGAACCTCACCGTGAGCAGGTCTCTCCAGCCAGGAGGGCAGGGATACAACTCAGCCCCCAGGGCCCCTCCCAGGCCCAACCCTGACTCACCCACCACTCCTGGTCCTCCTCCCCATCCACGATGATCACATCTCCCTCGGAGAAGGTCAGCTCATCCGGGTTGTCAGCCACACAATTATAGAGAGCTTTGACCCGCTTAGGCTTCAACTTGGTCTGCATAAAGAGAGGAGGGGCCACAGGTCAGTGTGGCAGAAGGTCTAAGCTCCTGGGGCAGAAAACTGGACCACTCCATGTCCAGCTGGCCTGGGAGTCCTGGGCCTGGGAAGCCCATGGATGCCACGCCTGGGCAGGTCAGTGCAGCTGGGGCGCCAGGGAGGGAAATGGAAAAATCCCAGCTGGGCAGATAGCACAGGCCAAGAGCGGGGAACAAGTGGCTGGGCCTAGGGCTTGAGAGTGGTCTGTCTGGAGCCGCTGAGAAGCCAAGCCTGCCAGCCACCTAGATCAAGCAGGCAGATACTGGGAAGAAGCCCCCTGCTCTGCTACAACCTGGGGAAGAGGGAAAGACCCGTTTCCCCAACCCTTGCAGAACAACCTGCACCCTTCTGGCCAGAGCCAAGGGGAAGGGGAAGCTCGTCCACTTACTGCCTGTGACTTCCTGGGCATGGGTGCGGGGGGCTGCAGAACCACGGCATTGGACAGAGGACCCAGAGCGTCTGTTCCAGAAAGGTCTGCTGCTTGAAGGCAAAAATGAAGCAACTTTATAAGATGTCCCATCAATCATGAACATGAGATATGAACAATAAACAATAAATACAAAAGTCACAGAGTCATGTCTGAATTTCCCCAAATGTTGAGACAAAAGTCCCCACAAAGCCAAAGAACTTCTGCCTTGGAAGCAGCTCTTACAGGGTGTGTAAGGTGGGTCAGTGTCCCAAAGTGAGTTAGGTGGCATCAGAGGCCCCTCTCAGCTCACCCTGTTGGCAGGAGAGGACAGAGTGAGGAGCCCAGTTGCGAGCTGCTCGAGAGCAGAGCACCAGAAGCTGAGGCAGGCAGGGGCCGTGCAGCAGGGCACTGCTGGGCCTCCCTCGGCATGGCAAGCCTCCCTGGGAACATCCCCCCACTACCCCTACAAGCTCAGCAGAACCCAGCCCCACACTAAATAATTACCAGGTCCTCTTGGTTGGCTTTTGTTGATCACTGGGGTCGGCTTGTCAGCCCTACAAAGAAGGGGAAAAACAGACTTAATGCTACCTGAGGCCACTTTCTCCCTTTCATAAGGGAACCACTGGGTTCACGCCGACATGTGAGCTGATTTCATTCAGCTAGCTCTTTTTGAGAAGGAGGAATGAGAAGTCTGGAGGAAAGTGCTAGATCTAAGGCTCTTGACCCTACAACCAGGGCACACCCTCCATGTGAGTCTGCAGCTGAGGACCAGGGTCTGGAGCTAAAAGCTGGAGACCAGCCACGGCTCCACCTCCAGTTTGCTCATTTCCTTCCCTGGTTAGGCCTTGGTCCCTTCATCAGAAAGGGAGGGGCTGGATCTTAATCTCAGGTCCAGATGGCTCTGCCAGGACATACCCAAGCCCCACTGGGCAGGGTCATCTGTGTGGTCCCTGCTGCTGGGAACCGATGTGGCTGAGCACGGGCTCAGGCGCCAGCACACACCAAGGCCACAAGGTAGAAACACACAGGGAAGGGAGTGGCTCCCAGAGCTGGCAGATGGGGTCTGTTAACTCAGACCCACCACCTGGTAGACCTGGATAAGTGTGTTTCTGAGAGTTGGTGCTTCCATCTGCAAAAGGTGTGAGTGACACCAGGGCTGTCAAACTCTCAAAATACAGATAGCACCACATGTCTCAGAGAAGCTGAGAGAAGCTCTCTAGTCCCCCGGTGGGTCTTGATGAGGAATGGGAGCCAGGAGTGGGGAAGGGAAGTCAGGGACATAATTCTGTCCATTCTTTCTGTGCTGCCCCAATGGAATACACCTGGGCCTTGGTGCCAGCAGCCTCAGAAATGACAATGGTTTTGCTCCCATGTTCAAGACAGTGAAAGGGCCTAAAAATGAAGGCCCCACACACCTGGCCAGTCTTGCCATTTGATCCTCATCAATGTTGTTGTGTGTAAATGTCTCAGCAGACATCATGAAGCTGCCCTGGCCGGGATCTAGTCTGCAATCACCCTGGACTACAGAGCACTCACAGGGAAGGCCCGAGTGTCTAAGACAGCAGTCAGCAGACTTGTCTTTGAAGGGCCAACACTAAATTCTTTAGGCTTCGTAGGGTGCAAAGTCTCTGACACAACCATTCAACTCTGCCACTGTGGGGCAAGTAGCCACAGACGACTGGCTGTCTTCTGTGAAACTTTGTCTATAGGCACCAAAATGTGATTTCACACAACTTCCATGTGCCATAAAATATTCGGCTTTTGATTTGTTTTGCTAACTATCTACAAAGACAAAAGCCATTCTTGGCTCCTGGGCCACAGATAACAGGAGGGAAGCGGGATGTGGCCTGTGAGCCAGTGTTTGCTGAAACCTGCTGTAAGAAAACTAGTGTGAAAATCCAGATTTATACCAAGGACAAAATTATTGCTGGAGGAGTGGTGGTTGAGGGGCTACCTCCTTTATGAGAGGACAAACCACCACCTTTAGAAACAGAACTCCCCTGGGCAGTGACAACATGATTCCACCCGGCCTCATCTCTCTTGCACATACTCTAACCTCTCCTGCTCTGTCCACAGCCCAACGTCTCCTTCCACTGAGATCTGAAACCAGGTAAGGCATGCCAGAGAGGAAATGCACTCAGCAGCCCTGTTCTTAGGGCTCCTTGCTGAGTGCTGGGGGCTGATCCTTATCCCAAACTTTAGTACCCGATTTGGTCTCTTGAAAAAACAGCAGCTTGGGCAGAGCAAACCCGAGAGTGTTGTAAGCGAAGAGGACAGAAGTATGGACCCCAAGTGGAACTCAGAGAAGCACGGCCTGTAGCCATTTAGTGCAGTGGCAAAAGATAGTAATTGTTCCAAAGAAGCCATTTGCTAAGAAAAATTAAATAAAAGGGAGAAAAAGATAATAATTGGCACTTGAAAGCATGTTCATTAAATAGTTCAGTAACCAATTATATTTCCATATACTGTCAAAGAACAGGAAGGCTCGGATATGTGTGTCATCTTTTAGGGAGTTATCTTGCAAGGCAGCACTTTCAAAGTCCTGGGAGTTTTCCGGTTAAAAGTGGCAGAGTGACATACACTTACTTCCACTTCCTCCCAAAGAAAATGATTGTAAAAAAAATAAACCAAAAATAACAAAGAATTAAAGAGGAAACAAAATGTTGGAAGCTGGAAGAGGGAGGGTGGATCACATTCTAGCTAGCTGGTCTCGGAGGTGAAGCCCAGTGGCAGCATGGCCATGTCAGACAGGCGCCCGTTGGCCTGAAGACCCGGAAGTGGAGAGAGGGCAGAGCCACAAACAGAAGGGTCAGGCTAAGGTCTGCTTAAGGAACCACTGAATCCCACCCTTTTCGAACAGCCTGGCCATAGCCTGACCCTACTAAAGACCATAAGATCCTACACTTGGAGAGTGCAAAACAGAGGGTGTCTAGGGATTTCCAGGGGCAGGTGTCAGGAAGATCTTGAAAAGCAGAGGGATACTGGGCAGCACCATAGCTCAGTGGGTAGGGCGCTGGCCACATACGCTTAGGGTGGTGGGCTCAAACCCAGCATGGGCCTGCTAAACAACAACAACCGCAAACACAAAAAAATAGCTGTGCGTTGTGGCGGGCACCTGTAGTCCCAGCTACTTGGGAGACTGAGGCAAGAGAATCCCTTGAGCCTAAGAGTTTGAAGTTACTGTGAGCTGTGATGTCACAGCACTCTACCCAAGGGGACAGCTTAAGACCCTGTCTTGAAAAAAAAGAAAAGCACAGGGACATAGCAGAAGTTTATTTCTCTACTCAACTCTCAGAAAACTTAGAGCTTACAGATAAGAGACCAGAAGACTATTCTCTAAAGAACCTGCATTATCCAAGAAGAAGAGGTCCGAGTTCAGAGTTCCCCGACAGATGGCTTGCAGTGGAAACCATGCCGTCAGCGCTGGGCAGCAGGACAGTTTGCCAGTCCTTGGTGCCTCAGCTGGAGTGTGTAGGAACAGAGAAGCATGGAGCCAAATTATGGGGAAAGGCTTCTAACACAGTTCAGCACAACGTGGAAGACACACATGCAGAAAAGCAAAACCTAAAAGAAGCACACCCCTCAAAACCGTCACTAACATTCTCAGAAAGATGAAGATAAGAGAAAATGGCCTCAGAAGGCAAAAAGAGAATGGTACTATAGAAGAAATTTAACTTGAGAATTACTGTATCAGAGCTGGCATGAAGAAAATTCAATTTAAGAACTGGAAGATAAAAATATAGAAAATCTCTCAGAGAGTAGATCTTTAAAATAGGCAAGCTACAAAGCAGGAATGGACACGAGAGGGTGGCTCTGGGTCCCCTACCCCAGGGTAGAGTATGAACACCCAGCAGGCCTCCCCCGCCTGCCCTCGCGTTCCCTGCAGAAGTGACCCAGGGCCCAGGCTATAAAGATGGAGTCAGAGGGCAGACAGGGCCTGGGGTCAGCTGAGAGCTTGTGCCTTGAAGCGCTGAGACTCTGGGCAGTCTGTCGGAGCCGTGAGGTCACCCAAAGAGAAAAAGAAAAGATGAAATGTTGAGAGGAAAGGCCAAGAGAGTCTGACTTCTGAAGAGTAAAAATTATATTAAAAGAGAGAACAGACAAAAAAAAAGAAGTGAGGACATTACAAAACACTAGTGAATTTCTCAGAACCGAAGACCAGTTTGCATGCTGACAGGCTCTGCCATCTATCTGGCTGCACGGAGACAAACACACACCCCCTGGAGAGGCTGAGCAGGGAGGGGCGGCTGTCAGGGTGGGTGGGGGCCGGGTCAGCCTGAGGGGAACGCCAAGGGCACTTGTGGAAGGGTGGTTTGACTGCAGTGTCCAACCCCATGTAGGGTGAGGAAGGCATCAGATGGTGGGAAATCAGAGCTTGAGCACCCAAGAGGGTCCCAGAATGGGAGTCAGGGAAAGGAGGGAGGCTTAAAACAGAGGAGGAGGAGGCAAATGGGAAATCTGTCCCTAAATCAAGTATGGAAAGATGGGAGCCAGAGTCTTCACCCTCAGAAAGGAAGTTACAAGTGCAGAAAAGGAGAAAATTAGAGCAAACCCACTTCTGGGAACTTGACTTGGACCTAACCACCATGACGTGAGGAAGCCCACACCACGGGGAGAGGCCACGTACATGCTGGTCCTCCAGCCGATGACGTCAGCTACCTGATAACAGAGAGGGCAGAAGACACCGACAGCACCAGTTCCCACTGACCAGTCGCCTCCTGTGTGAAACCACCCCAGCCTTTTGGTCTTGTCAGACCCTGTGGGGCACACACAGGCCCCAACTATGCCGTCCAGATTCCTGGGATCTCTGCCATAATAAAATGTCTGGGTCTCAAGGCTGTTGGTTTCAGTGTGGTCTGTTCCTGGAACAACTGAAGCTAGAGCTATCAGTATGAACTCATGGATTTCAACACAGAAAGATATGGAATATAAGTGGTGTTCGTGTACATTTAGGCCAAGTCTGTAAATACAAATTCTGACCACTCAGAGGGCCTCTGTGGGACCATGACACTTCACCTAGCACCCACATCTTGACCTCTACATATCATTTCTGCTAAAATGAATCATGCCCCACTATCAAGATCCAGGTAAAGAGTCACAGATCAGATCTCTCCGCAATAAAGGATGTCATTTGAACAAATGGCTAAACTTCAATTGGGTCTAAGGTAGTTACACATCATGTCAATTTCCTGGTTTTGCTAGTGAAAGTGTATTTATGTAGAAAAATATCCTTGTGTCCGTGTTTGTAGAAAATATAAGCCTCTCACTGAAGAGCGTCTTTATGTTCAAGATAATGTTAGGCAGGGCGGTGCCCATAGCTCAGTGGGTAGAGTGCCAGCCACAACATACACTGAGGCTGGTGGGTTCAAACCCAGCCCGGAGCCTGCTAAGCAACAATGACAACTGCAACAACAAGAAAAAAATAGCTGGGCATTGTGGTGGGCAGTCAGACATGAGCAGGGTGATGACAGATGCAGTTAGGCCATTTTATATTGGTTTGGGTCAGGCTGACCAGCACTATTATGGGAATGGGGCTAGTTAAAGACCTTGCAGGTGGGTGGTGCCTGTGGCTCAGTGGGTGTTGTGGTCCCAGCTACTTCGGAGGCTGAAGCAAGAGAATCGTCTAAGCCCAAGAGCTGGAGGTTGCCATGAGCTGTGACATCACAGCACTCTACTGAGGGCAACAAAGTAAGACTCTGTCCCTTAAAAAAAAAAAAAAAGACCTTGCAAGAAATGTCCTAGGGATTTTCTGCTATGGTCAGACACATGGAGACATGCTGACCTAGGCTACTTTGGAAACAGTTAAGAACCTTAGAGACTTCCAAGAAGCAGATGGTACCCCTCAAAGTTGTGTATAAAACCCAACACTGCATTTTCCATGGGGCCTGCAGTCACTAGGAGGGGGCCCAGCTTGCTGTATAAACTGTTAGTAGTTAATAAATCTTTACTGGCTTTACTTTACTGGCTCTTTTCAATTATTTCAGTGATGACCCTGACCTACCACTCTAACAATAAGGTTACCAGTGAATAGCAAAAAACATAGAGGGGCCCATGTCTTGAGGAACTTACCACAAAAAAAAAATCCCAGTATCTGTACTGAATTCATTACGTAAATTTAAGATAAATATTTGTAACAAAATTTTATAATTTAAAAATCCTTGATTGGCTTGGCGCCTGTGGCTCAAGCGGCTAAGGCACCAGCCACATACACCTGAGCTGGCAGGTTTGAATATAGCCCAGGCCTGCCGAACAATGAAAACTACAACCAAAAAAATGGCCAGGTGTTGTGGTGGGCACCTATAGTCCCAGCCACTTGGGAAGCTGAGGCAAGAGAACTGCCTAAGCCCAGGAGTTGGAGGTTGCTGTCAGCTATGATGCCACAGCACTCTACCAGGGTGACAGCTTGAGGCTCTGTCTCAAAAATATATAAATAAATAAAAATTAAAATTCTTGATAAATTGAGACCTGATGAATTCGGTATGTGATGCCTGGTCTCACACATCACAGTAGCAGGAACACCAGGGACTGAACACGTTCCTACAAAACCTTACCAGGTAACATCGTAGGGCCACTGCCATCTGGACGCTCCCTGTATGCAAGGAGCAAGGATGGCAACCCAGCCAGGCACGGCTTACCCAGCAGCAGGCTTCTTCTGAGGGAGGCGGCTAGGCGGCTGGGGGGGCAGAGGCGGGGCCTTGCTCTGTGAGCCCCCAGGCTGGCTGGGCTTGCTGGGCTGGCTCAAGGCTTCTATCACACTGGGCGTCTTGGCTACAGGAGGGGGCGGTGTGGGAGTCAGGGGATCTGTGGGGAGAAAATGACAAAAACACACAGTGTCAGCCTCCAGTGCTTCCCGCTCCTGCCTTCTCCCAAGGCTTTTTCTGTAAGGACTGTCTTTTCCTACTGCTAATCCCTAAATTAGGGAAAAACCTGCCACTGTTTCCTTGCTGACATTCATTAAACTATATTACTGAGGAGGGGCCAGGGAGTCTTTTCCAAACAAAGGCAGAAGCTACAAGTCTGAGTTATGGTGAAGATTTTTCTATCAGGCAGTGGGTGTTTCCTCAACTAGAATTCCCCATGAAGAAGCCAGGACAGTCTTCTGTCTCTGCCCGGGGCCCGGGGCCTCCCAGGACCAGCTCTCTTGTCCCCTGGGTTAGCCCGTGTCCAGAGGGAAAGAGGTCTTGCCCATTCCATCAGGTCAAATCTGAGGAGAGACCAGGTGCAACTGACTTTGTAACAGCCCTAATGGTCCCACGATCTATGACGTTCATGGGACAAAGAGCTCTATCCCCATCCAGGCTGCACTGGGGAGGCCAAGGCTGCAGGTGAAAGGATTGCCTCAAGGGTGGAGGAGCTGGTAAGACCCAGAGCTAGGGCTGAGCCAAGTTTCTATCCCCTGATTCTCTCCAAGCCCTGCGCTTCCTGTTACCATCCAGTGTCCTTGTTGAAAATGGCGCTTTGCCTCAGGGCAGGGCTAACACACCAAGTGAGCCCCTCCCTGGTGGAATGAGCCAGAGGGAGCTGAGGCCTTCTGCTCTCATGGAGGGACTGGGACGGGAAAAAAAATGAAGGGATTCAGTTAAAGATCTTTTTCCATTTTAAAGGAAAAGTCAAACAGCAGGCTCTAGCACACAAATCCAGCCCCTGGGATACTAGATGGGGAGTCAGCAAAGTGGGCTCTGGCCTACCTTGCCTCGCCATGGCTGTTCACCTCCCAGCACACCTGTGCCTGGGGCCACACTACTTTCTACTTTAACTTATTAAAGGACACCACAAGCAGCTTGCCTTAGGGGTGCACTAGAAGGATAACCCAGCACGCTAGGCGCCCCCTGCACACCCAAGGCTAACTCCATTGATGTGGTAAAAAAGACACCCTGGTTCTACACTTGAAAAACCTCTTCCTTCTCCTGCACTTCCATCCCCAAGGTTTTGGAGATTTTCAATCACCTGTTGATATGGAGTAAAACCCATGCTAGATTATGTACCAAAGGATGGTCTCCAAATATTGAAAATCACCAAATGGCCAAAGGAAAAGGAAACCTGCGTGTAAAGTAGGAAACGCTGCTAAAATGCTGTAGAGGACAGATGAAGGGAAGGAGGGAGCCACCGTGGGGTGGGGCAAGGGATAGACAAGAGTGTGGAGCTGGGGGGAGGAGGCTGGATGAGCCCCAGGAGGCCACACAGGTCCCGGCACCTGGCACACCAACAGGCTGGTGCAGCTGGTAGCTCTCTCCCCAAGTGCCCAAGTGGCTGCCGAGAACTGCCCCCCTGCCATCCAGATCTACAAAGCCCATGGGCAAAAAGGGAAAAAAAAAACGTACTGGTAGATGTCACACGCAGAGGGGGCAGCGGTGGATGGACAGCGGGCGGATCTGACGAAGATCGCTGCCGGCTTCCACCGTCCACGCTTACAGTGTTTGTCTTCCACGGGGTGTTAGCGGAGGCTGTCTGAACTGAACCCACACGCACACACGCGCACACATGCACACAACAAAAACAGAAACAGAACATGGCGTTATTGACTCTCTCCCTTGTGAAACAGTCACTATCACCCTTCTAGAATACTAAATAGGATGCTGAACTTTTTTATTCTTGTCTGTGATATCTGGAAGATAGATATTGGTAAACACTAAAGCAAAGATGCTTCAGGGAATATTCTCGGCTAGTTTCCTCAATCTCAATTATGAAATCTAAAATTTTTTAATTGTATTACTCAAATATAAAAAGTGTTTGAAGACAGTAATAAATAACCACAGTGATCTCTCCTGAGCCTCGCACTGGGGCTTACAGATCTTCTGCTCATCTCTGCCATCCCATGAAGTCCTCCCCATGGGGGTCACCGCCCACAGGGAGCAGCACCCTGTCCCCAGCCCAAGTTGGTAGACAGAAGGGCAGATGATAACAAGGAGGATTAGATGACTCACAAAAAAGACAGCATTTCCCTGGCCAGAGTCCTTCCTCTGCCTCCCAAAGCATCATGCTCAGGTGCACGGGGCAAGATGTGACCCCATGTCGGAGGCTGTGCATGGCCCACAGGGCAGGGCCAGGAAACCAGAGGGCTCCGCACCTTCCCAGGGCCAGGCCACAGGGCAGAGGAAGCCTTTGCACTTTTCTCAAGGTCTGCCTAAATGTGCAAGGTGACAACTTCAACTACTTTTGCTACTCATTGGTTGTGTGGGAATCCCACCCTAGGCCACATGTGGCCCAGAAGGGAGCAGGGGGGAGTTGGGTGTTTCCAACAAGTAAGAGGTACAATGTACAAATTTGAAAGAAGACCTAAAGCCAGAGGCAAGAATGGTGAAAAGAAAGAAGAAAAACAGTCAAAACTGGGTGGTGCCTATGGCTCAGTGAGTAGAGTGTTGGCCCCATATATAGAGGGTGGTGAGTTCAAACCCAGCCCCAGCCAAACTACAACAATAAAAAAAAGTCAAAACCCTCTAATTCCAAGACTTCATTGAGGAAATCAAGAAATAAAGAACTCACCATGCCTATTCCATGACTCAACAGAACAAAACCCTCCTTCTGTGACACACACAGTCATTAAAAGCCATTACTGGGAACAAAGGTGACCTGACCATCTTCGGGTCTCACACAGCTGGGCCCGATCCTGGGTGCCACAGAACCAACACCCATACAGGACTGGGAGGAGGGTCCTGCTGCTGCTTCCCTTGCTCAGGGGCATCCTCATCACGCACAAAGTGGACGCTGCCTGGGGTGTGGGGTGCATGGGGGCAGTGAGCAAGATGGTGCAGGGCCTGCCCAGTGGGTTTGCTCCTGGGGCGTGTGATTCAGTGCCAGTCTGGGCCTCCCTGGGGGACAGGGGCAGGTGAGGGGTGGAACCCAGGATTTCTGCCCTTTATGGCACTGTGGGGCCCGCAAGGTCTGTTTCATATTTTATAATTAGGCTGAGCACTGCTCCTCATTTCATAGGGATCAGGGACAAGAAATTATCACAGATGCCATAAGCTGGCTCAGATGCAGGCAGAGGAGGAAAAAAGAGGGGGGAGAATAAAGGGCCAAGAGGGGGAAGAGTGGAGAAAGATAAAGAGACGGGCATGATCTGCAGGGGCCATCACCCACCTCAGACTGCCGTGGGGGTGTCCCCACACTACCCAACCCGCACAGAGGCCACACCTCTGCCCAGAATAAGAATCAAGTCACGAGGCCCAACCACCATCTGGCATTGTAAGAACAACGGACTCCCTTCAGGAAGCAGATAGAAAATAACTACAAAACAGAGAAGCCCAGGTGCCACCTAGTCGGGGGCAAAGCAACTGCAAACTTGCAAAGCACAAAGCAAAACAAGACGCTGTGCATCCACGAAGTACTGCTGACAGGCTCGTACCTTTGCCCATGTTCCGTGGGGGGAGTGGAGGGGCACTGGTGGTGCTGGGGGGTACAGGTTGGTTGGGAGGCGGGCTGCCGCTCAGGATGGCTCCATAGGTCTCATTCTGCAAGATGCTGGGCACGAAACTCCTCTGCTTGTCCTTGGCAAGGCTCGCAGTATCTCTGGCCAAAGCTGCCACGTTAGACTGAAGCTGGCCAGACCCCAGCTGGTAAAAGCTGACAGGCCGGTCTTCCCGCCGGTTGGGACTAGGCTGCAGGGGAAGGTCAGAGCAGAGGGTGTGAGAGAGGAGGCACCAGTCACTCTTGGTGCTAACGGTCACCTCTGCTTGGCCTGGTAGCATTGGCGTGTTCGGCTGTAGTACGAGAGCTGCAATATGTAAAACTCCCTCCCTCTTCTTGCATCTCGTAACAGAAACACACATATGTAGAAAGCCGTGATTTACAGGCCACAATTCTCCCTGCTGTGAAGCATTTAAAACAAGCTATCTCATCTTACTGGGGTTCCCTCAACCTAGCTCTGTATTTCCCCTGGAGTTCTCTCTCCTCAATATGCTTTCTTGTGTCACACCACAGCACAGCTGGCTCTGGCCATCCACCTGCCGTCACTCTACAACAGACACACAGCTAATTCATCAGAGATCAAACAGCAACTCCTGAGGTTCTTCCAAATCAGGGTTAGCAAAGGGTGGCCTGTGGGCTGCCAACTGTTTTTGTACACAAAGTTTTATTGGCTCACAGCCAGGCCTCATCATTTACATTTTGTCCGGGGTTGCTTTTAAGCCATCCTGACACACCTGTATAAGTGCAATAAGAACTATGATATTTTAGGTCCACAAGCCTGAAATTTTACTCTCAGGTTTTTGAGATCTTGCTTACCCTGCTTACCTGAAAGCTATGTGCTTTACTGGAACCAGATGCAAGAAATCAAGGCTCAGGTAACTTAGATCTAGCCCATGTATCAAACATCAGCTTCATTAGTAAGGATCTTGGGAAAAATCACTTAACTTTGCTGACCCACACTCCATACCAGTGATTTTCAACTTTTTTTATGTCATAGCACACTTGAACCTGCAAGTTAAACTTCCACAGCAACTTAAATTATGTTGTTCTAAAAAAAAAGAGTAAAGAAAAGGATATACTTACTGTGCTTTGAACTTCTTTTGAATATAATTTAATTAATGATCTTTAAAAATTTTTGCAGCACACCTAGAATCCCCTCACTACACACCAGTGTCCCACTGCACAATGGTTGAAAATCACTGCTCTACACTCTCATCTGTTAAATAGGTATAACTTTAACTGCTTCTCAGAGCAGAGCCAGGTGCTCAGCAGTGGCCCCTTCCCCTCCTAGGACCACCCACCTGTTCTAGGTTCCGGCCCAGTCTATGCTCACTGCTAGTGTAGGTGTGCAGAACGTAGCAGCCAGTGGCTCTTCAGACCCTTCTAATTCCCAACAAAGTCTGGTGCTGAAGGGCCAAACCATACCCACCTCTCCCTGCTGGAAATCAAGTGAGGGGGTGGCCGAGTCTGAGCACTCCAGAGCCCCTACTCTTGTCCTTTTACTTGGGCTGCTACCTGCTTTACCAACTGCTGATAAAGCGGGAAGGTGATGCACAAGCCCTGATGAACAGGCGCATTGGGGCTGGCAGTTCAAACTGCCCTGTTCTATGGCATGTTAAGTGTGAGATTAGTCAGCTCTTCTCACTGGACACTGTTTTGTAGATAATTCTAAAGTAATTTCTTATTCTGTATCCGAAGATGTTAACTGCTCCATGAGCAGAGCTAGTCCAATGGGTTCAGAAATGCCAGTTAGACACTTTATCTAAAGTCCTATAGTAAAAAAGTTATAAATTTAAACCACAAAAGATGTATTTAACATGGAATTTCCCATTAACTTCAATGGGGAGCATGTTCCAGGTATGTTGCGACTAGGGAGAGGGACAGGGCCAGAGCTCTGAGCCCTACGTGTCCTTCCGAGGCCACCCAGGTGTGCAAGGCAGTGAGTGCGCTGAGGAAGGAGCTGGACAGAGGTGGGAGCCCTCCTTTTAGTCCCAGGCTGTGTGCAAACACTTTACTCCGGCTGAACCAATCTCTCTCGAGGCATCGACACTCCCCTTTGATAAAGGGAGTATTTGCAGCTGTTGAGGTCTCAGTGTTGCTTAATTTCATTTGAGGTTTTTAAGATCAACCCTCCTCATAACATGATCCTGCAGCAAGTGGGCTTCCCCTCAAACTCCCTGGAATCAAAGCCCCTCCCATATTTTTCTTTTATAGCAAACAGTGAGCAGCTGCCTATGAGCACACAATTAGCCCTTCCTTTAAATCAGCGTGGCAGGAGCTGGGAGACAGGAGGCAGTCCTGGGCAGGGTAAACCTCAAAACCTATTGAGATCAATGAAAGCAGAAAGTAAGCTCTATTTTCTACATAACAGCTTTCTGCCTTAATCATAGGCCAGGACCCACACTGCTCTGAAGGAGCTTATCAAACCCTCCCATGTGTGCTAACCCAGCACAGACCTGCAATTTCTCGTCCATGTCGTCATCGCTTTCATCCAGGTCTTCGTGGAGTAACCGCCATTCATATTCAACGTGGACATGAGAATTAAATCTTCCGGATAAGGCTTGGGTCAGCTGAGGGAACAAAGGGGAGGTGGGTGCTGCTGTTCACACACACAGCCATGTGAAGCAGGCACCCACCACAGACCAGGAGACCAGCATAGGGAGAGGGGCCCAGGGGATGCCTGCCTTCCAGCCAAGGCAAACTCATTGAAATCACTGGGTCGCAGGTGAAGCCCCCTCCCTCTACCTGTTTGACAGTTACCCTGAAACTTGAACATGATAACGTCTGGTGAGGACGTTATAAACTGTGAAGTGCAATACACAGGCAAGGGATGCTGGAGATAGATCTAAGGATGACGACTACAGGAATCTACACTGCGTGCAGGAGCAATCTCAATCTTGCAAGAAAGAACATGATCATTCACTGTAACCTGGACTTTCAGCCAGTATGACAGGATTAAGTCCTGCAGAAAATAATCTGAATAGCTATTTCCTCAATCCTCTCAAGGCAGGTGGCTAGTTCCATGCTAGGTGCACTAGAGACATTAACTCATTGCATAGAATGGATGTCTTCAGACTTTAGGGCTTAATTCTTCCCACAGCCAGGTGGTGGCTGCGTGACCTTGGGCAAGTTGCTTAACTTTATGGTGCCTGTTTCCTCACCTGGAAAATGGGGAAAATGGTAGGAATGCTGACGGAAGGTAGTTATACAGGTTAAAGGAGGTAATGTATAAACAGGGATTAGAAATAGCACCAGCTACTTATCTTACACTCACACTGTGCTCATTACTGCTAGCTCTGTTTACGGAGCTCCCTCTGTGCCAACACCGAGTTCAACAATAACACTCAGAACCACCCTGTGGACTGGCACGTCCCACTCTGCTTTACTGGTGAGGCGCAGCCTGGGGACTGTGTGCGTCCTCCCGCGGCAGTGACAGAGACGGAGCCCACTGCAAGCCCAGGCTACCTGACCTGGTGGTCCCTTCCCACCGTCCACCCTGCCTCTTCTTCCAGAACAGGAAAGGAAAAGATGCTGCAGTGCAACGCCCACCACGTGGGGGGTGGGAACACAGTAAGGAAGCCAGCCTTGGGGTGCCACAAGAACACAGTAAGGAAGCCAGCCTTGGGGTGCCACAAGAACACAGTAAGGAAGCCAGCCTTGGGGTGCCACAAGTAACGCACGAAGAACGTGAAGACACCGTCCTCGGCCCTTGCTCCAGGCGCCCAGACTATGCCAGCGCTATCTTCAACATGTCCAACCAGCAAATACCAATCGTACGATGAATGGGCGGCCACCTCTGCTGTGAAGACTCCCCAGTGTACCTTCTCCAAGCTGGGCCAAGTCTAAGCTCATCAGTGTTCATCATTGGACAATGCAATCTGCTCAGCAACCCTGGCCAAGGGCTCAGAGCAAATCATCCCCAAGGAGGATGGGCCCAGCTAACGTCCAGGAAGGTGCCCTGCCTGACCACGTGGCACGGAGACTCACCAATTCCTCACAGTGCTCGTGCTTGAGGCGTTTGGCAATGTCCAGAGGTGTCTCCCCCGCCTCGTTCGCTGAAAGTCAAGGTTAAGGCAAGGAGGCATTACAATAAAACCCAGCAAAGGTCTGACGTCTGGGGGCAATTCACAAAAGGCACAGCAAAGTGGAGCTAATTAAATTGAACCCAATTAATGAAATCTACCGTCAGTTCCATCCAGCTGGGGCTGAATTTGCTTTATAATTATATAGGACTGCAAGTAGGTATAGGAAGTAAAATTTTCAACAACAAAGTTGAGCTAATCAAGAAAATAAAACTCTTGAAGCAGCCAACTAATTAAAATCAATATCCAAACTGTAAGCTGTGGAATGAAGCAGTTCATAAACCTCTAACTAAAAGCACGGCTAACCTAGCACTGTGCACTGCAACCCAATAGACTTTTACATCTCCTTTGAAGCGGTCTATAAATTTGAAATCCTGTGCTTTCTTCTAAATATGTCTCAGTCAATAAGGTTTGATTATTAATTTCAAAAAAAGAAGCATGGCCCTCAAGCAGATATGTGCCTTTTTGCTACCCTTAGTCCTCTTTGTTGGATAGTTCTTCAAAGATACTTCATGAAACGACATCATCTGCATGTCCTTAAGGCAAAACAGTGCCCTGGTCATCAGCATGGCAGGTCTCTTGACAGAGGGAGGAAGGAGGGCCACGTAAGAATTAGGGAGTGGGCAGCGACTGGCACCTCTCCCCAGGGAGCCAAGGAAGGGGCTAAGCATGTTCTCAGGTGGGGGTGAGAAAGCTCAGGGTTTGTGAACAGGAGGTCACAATTCCCTAACCTTGTCCAAAGTCACCCCTTATCAGTGACAGCCACAAGGCCCGACCCTTGCCTTTCTCTTTTTTTTTTTTTTTTTTTTTATTGAATGGTAACTATGTACATTAATGCACTTCTGGGGTACAGTGTGGGGTTTTCACATGCAATCTGAAATACTTCCATCAAACTGCTCAACACAGCCTTCATGTCATTTTCTCAGTTATTGCTTTAAAACGTTCACATTTGCCTTTCTCTTAATCTGTAAAATGCCTGGAGATGGACCCACAGTCTAGGTAACAGGTAGAAGAATGCTGTCCATCAATCCTGAGACCACATCAGCCTTACAGAACGGGCAGGGGCAGGCCCTTCCTTATCAGAGGTAGGTTTTGTTTCTCCTTCTGCGGCGCTGACTGGAATCCCAAGTGTTGGCCCTGTTTCCAACAGCACGTGGGAACTGCAGACAGGGTGGAAGCAGCAGGGCGCCCACTCACCTATCTCGATGGAAGCCTTTCCCCGCAGGAGGAGCTTGAGGCACTCAGCATTGTCAGTCAGGCAGCAGTAATGCAGGGCCGTGCTGCCCTTGCCTGTCTGTCTGTCCAGGTTCCCACTGGCCAAGGACAGGGATGGAGGAACAGTGAGTCACAGACCAGAGTACCAGGGTCTGCCCAGTAGGGAACTTGGGGTGAGTGGACAGTTTCTCTAAATCACCCCCATGGTGAGTGTGACAAAGGACACACTGGCCATCCCACAAAGTGGGTAGGGCATGATACAGCCCCTGCCAGTGTGCACAAGGCCTTACCATAAAGCCATCAGGGCAATACCACAATGACCAAAGAAAAGGCCAACAAGGGCGGAGTCAGCGGTGACCCAGGACGGGCATTGCACCCCCTAAGCCTGTCCAGAACCCCAACATCATTCCCATTGCATGGACTACGCAAACCTAGATCAAGGAATCAAAATACATATTGAAGAGTCCAGAAGTCTATCCTGCAGGTGTCAGGAAGGCGACACCCGCTGGTAAAGCAGCGTGCACCAGTCAGGAACTCCTGGGCCATGGCATGTACACGTCTTTAAAAGCCATTTCTAATAAAGCATAAACACAACTTCTCCACCCAAACAAAACGCCCATAATCCAGGGTTTTGGTTCATAACCTCTGGTGTAGACCAGTAGCTATCATGTGGATTTTTCTTCCCTGAGATCTTTCTACTGCTCAAGACCCTCTGCTTGAGACCGACCCACCTCACAGGACAAGGCGAGGAATGCACGTGTGCACACAGGTGGTGGTCACGGGGTCCCAGGAATGCACCTGTGCACACAGCTGGCAGTCATGGGGTCTCAGGCACAGTCTGCTCTCCAGGGCACAGAACACAGAAGCCCTATCTCTGTGCTATCTCCCTCAGGCCCAGACACTAAAAGTTGAATCTTACAGATACCACAAGGGTTTCTATTCTCATACTCCAGGGCTTTTTTAGGATTGCCATGGAATAACCAGCTGGCAGCACTTCCATCCAATAATTCACATTTAGATCTGGGAAGATTCTCTTGGCAACACAACCCAAACAATGAAGCAGCATTTGATTCCTTCCTCAGAAATACCAAGGAACCAACACCTCCCCTTAATGTTAGAACACCTACCTGTTCTGAACGAGAAAGTCTACAATGTGCAGAGAAGTCCGATCCACGGATCTGACTGCAAGGTGGAGGGCTGTTTCATCCGGCTCCTGAAAACCAAAGACATTCTAGAATTGAACAGCAGCATTTACTTTTGTGTCCAGGAAAGGGAAACCGTGTTTCTCTCTTCTAAAAGCTTTTTATCCTTTCCTTCCAGACATTTATCTCAGGCCAGATGCAGTGGTTCACACCTGTAATCCCAGCACTTTGGGAGGCTGAGGTAGGAGGATGGCTTGAGCCTAGGAGGTTTAAGGCTGCAGCAAGCTGTGACTACACCACTGCACTCTGCCTGGGCAGTAGACTGAGACTCTATCTCTTACAAAACAAAAACGGGGCAGTGCCTGTGGCTCAGTGAGTAGGGTACTGGCCCCATATACTGAGGGTGGTGGGTTTGAACCCAGCTCCAGCCAAACTGCAACAAAAAATAGCCATTGTGGTGGGTGCCTGTAGTTCCAGCTACTCAGGAGGCTGAGGCAAGAAAATCACCTAAGCCCAAGAGCTGGAGGTTGCTGTGAGCTGTGACGCCCTATCAGAGCAAAGTAAGACTCTGTATCTTAAAAAAAAAAAAAAAAAAACCCCTAGAAAAACAACTTATCTATAAGATATATAAAGCCCTGTAATCTCCACAGCAGATCTCTTGCACTCCTGCACCAAGTGATTTAGAGATTGGTCCTATTTCTCCTACTCCATAGGAGTTTTCACTTCAAAGTCCTTGCAGTCAGTTTGGCACCTGTGGCTCAAGTGGCTAAGGCACCAGCCACATACACCAGAGGTGGCGGGTTCGAATCCAGCCTGGGCCTGCCAAACAACAATGACGGCTGCAACCAAAAAATAGCCAGGGGTTGTGGTGGGCACCTGTGGTCCCAGCTACTTGGGAGGCGGAGGCAGGAGACTCGCTTGAGCCCAGGAGTTGGAGGTTGCTATGAGCTGTGGTGCCACAGCACTCTACCCAGGGGGACAGCTTGAGGCTCTGTCTCAAAAAACAAAGTTCTCGCAGTCACTGTGTCCCCTCCCCTGGGTCAACAACTCGAAAGATTGTTCACAGGTAGAGGCCTTGTTCTGAGAACCCAGGAAGGTCCCCAGCCTCCCAGGCTCTGGTCCCTTTTCCTGCTTCCCAGCAGATGGAAACGTGTGTTACTCTAGGCAGGCCTCCAGTTGTTCATTCTACACTTAGAGATAGTTCATGAGTGCTAATACCTCTATGATCCCCAACTCACACCCGGGGTACATGGCCACCACTACTGTTTCTGAAAGTGCATTAGGCAGGTGGGGGAGAAGGGCTGCTTTAGGTAGGTGGGTGGGGCGAGAACAGGTGGGGAAGAAAGAGTCATCGGACAGAAGACTCTTACTCCAGCTGCCCTGCCTGCTCGGTCCTCTGGCTGGGACAGCGCAGCACTGAGGACACTCTGCCTTGGACTGTCTAATATGAGAGAGGACAGAAGAACAAGCCCTTCCCGCACCTGTATGTGTGTGTCTGTCACCAGGGGAAAGATGCTGCTGGACGCCCAACAGGACATAGCTGAAACCCACGACTGTCTGGATTCCCAACACGAGGGCTCCACAGAGCGAGCTCTGATGATAAGGTGCAACCCATCCTGAAGTCAGGAAGTTCCGGGGGACTGAGGACACACCCACAGGGCCTTTGTGCTTAAGAATCAGAAGACACATCAAGCCCTCTGGCACTGGAGCTCACCATGGACCCACTCCTGACAGTAATGCTCACCCTCTCAAGAGAGTCTCCTCCAGAAGTCTGGCGGGCAGAGGCTTCTCAGAGAAGCTCAAGGCTCAGGCTAAACCTCTTCATGCAAGACGGATTCCCTTCCAGCTGCCTTGGTTCTGAGAAGACACCCCTCCTTCAGGCTGGAGAGGCGTTCTTTCCAGGACTGGTGGTACATTTTTGGTTTAAGAATAAACTCCTAGGTGGCACCTGTGGCTTAATGAGTAGGGCACGGGGCCCATATAGCAAGAGTTGCAGGCGCCTGTGGTCCCAGCTATTTGGGAGGCTGAGGCAAGACCTCTAAGCCCAAGAGCTGGAGGTTGCAGTGAGCTGTGACACCACAGCACTCTACTGAGGGTGACATAGTAAGACTCTGTCTCTCAAAAAAAGAAAAAAAAAAAACAACTCCCAAGTAGCACAGCACAGTGACCACAGCTTTGATATATTTCAAAACTGAACAGAATTTAAATGTTTTCACCATAAGAAAATGATGAGTATGTCAGGTAATGGCCATAGTAATTAGTTTCATTTAATCCTCCCGCAAGGGAAACACATACTAAACATCACGATATACCCATAGATACATACAATTATTGTTTGTCAATTAAGAAAAATGAATAAACTCCTGGTTTCTTCCTACAGAGCTCAGTGCTGTCTTCTTCTGGAGAGTGATCCTCCTGCCTCAACCTCCCAAGTAACAGGGACTATAGGTGCACGCCACTATGGCTGGCTAATTTTTTAATGTTTTGCAGAGATGGGGTGGTGGGTCTTGCTATGTTGCCCAGGCTAGTCTTGAACTCTGGGTCTCAAGTGATCTTCCCACTGTGCTGTGATTATGGGCGTGAGCTACTGCACCCAGCTTAGTCAGCATTTCTGACTACACTGCCCCACCATAGGTCTCCCCCTTTCTTTCCTTTGAAATGACACTTACATGTCCATTGGCCAGTGGGATTTTTTCCATGAGATCCACACCGTCAGCATAGGCTTGGAGTAATCCAAAAATATCTCTCGTCTTAACAGCTTCGCAGAGGCTGTAAAGCTTCGCTGCGTTGTCCGCGTGCTTTTTCCTTGCGTATCTCCTCTCGATGTACTTGGCCATGATGTAGTCCTTTCTTGCATTCCTGAAACCAGATTAACCACCTGGTAACTCATTAAGGGCCTCTAATGTACCACCTGTAACCCTCCAATAAACCCTGCCTGACCTTGCACGGGACAGCACTGCTGCCACGTGGTGCCACCTGCATTCACTGCAAGCCCAGGCCACCTCTGAGAAGTGCCCCAATCCATTGTTCTCCAAGTCCTCTTACACAGGGGCCCTGGGCCCGCCCCTGTACTGGAGAGGAGCTGCCTGGGAGCATGTCTGCATCCTCACAGCCCACCAGTGTCTCTACCACCTCCCTGCCCCCTGCCCACCCTGGAACCCCCCCATACACGTCTCTTACCCAGTCCCTCTTACCTGTAATCTACATTCCTCCAGGAGACTCCTTGCTGTGTCCTCCAGGAAGGCTACTGCCTCTGCCCTTGAGGCCCCTGTCTGACCTCTGTCTCACTGTGCCCCCAACCCAGGTTTGCAGCCTATCTGCCCCACAAGATCCTTGGGGGCATGGACATGCTCTCACCCACTATGGGAGATGTGCCCAACTGGCAACTGGAGACACACTCAATGCCGCCGAGCTGGGAGTGTAGGGAGCAAGCAGGTGAGAGTGAGAAGGTGGGAAGCTGCTTCTGGGGGTGATGAAAGTCTGAAACTGACTATGCTAATGGATTTCCAGCTCTGGGAACATACTAAGAGCCACTGTAAACTTTAAGTGGGTGAATTGTATTTCAATAAAGCTGCTAAGAAAGAAACATTAGGAAAAACTAAATTCTACTGACAATATTTTCCCCAGTACATCTACCAAAGGCACAAAAGCACAGAGAGGCCATGGCACCCTACCCAGGGTGACAAGAGTGAGACTTTCTGTCTCAAAATAAATAAATAAAAATAGATGAATAAGACAAGGAGGCTGAGCAGCATCACACTGACGGGCGTGGTGGCCTGGGCTCATCACGACGCAGTACCCTCTAGAAGCAGACGGTCAGCCTGCAGGGGATGCGGGCTCTCCCTTTCAGTTTGCCTTCCTGCCCAGCCTGAAATGCCAGTGTATTTCATACCTTCCAGAAAGAATGGGCGAGAGAAACCAAAGGGAGAAGATTCTCTCGGGAGGAAGATTCTCTCCTCCCAGCATTTGCCAGGCCTCCTAACTGCTGACCTGGGATGCCTGTTGCTCCTGGACTTGCAAGTGACACCAGCTTGCTTGGTGTTCCAGAGCCCTGACTCCATTGGAGCGGCAGTGCACTTCCCTATCTAAGAAGAGCTTCCAGGGTGCCTGGTGAACCTGTCCTGCTTATCACACTCATCCTCCTGCTCCAGCCCCAGTGCTCACCCTACAGGGCTCAGCTTACAGCTGGACAGTGGCTTCCCAGTGCATGGCCCTTGCCCACACAAGCAGCACACTGCCTGTGGGGCTGGATGACTTCTGTGTGTCTCACCTCACAACGCTGTCATGGGCTTATATTTTCACCTTGCAAGGTGAGTACAGCATGTCCTCCAGTAACAGTCTTGTTCAATGTCATTTTGTTGCAACACTGATGAGAAAACTATTCACAACCAGGGCCACTGTCGCCTATGCCTACACAAGATTTCCCCTGGCACCGTGGTTTCCTCTAGTGTCCCAAGGCCATGCACATGAGGTGAAACGGTGTGTCTACGTGGTTCCAGTGTGAGCGCGCTCTGTGCTGGGACAGAGTCCTGTCCAAGGATAGTTCCTGCTTAGCACCCTGAGCTTCTGAGAGAGGCTCTGAGCATCTGAGGCCCTGAACTGAATGAATTAAGTCAGTAAGTAATTCTCTTACTAATTTTTATCCATCTTTTCCAAATGATGAATATCAGAAGTGTTTTGAGTCTTTAATTTAGAAGTTAGGTGATGCTTTTGTGACCAGAACTCTTGCTTACATCAATTAGCCTAAGGTCAAATACGGTTTCCTTATATGTCGTTTCACTTAAAGTTGAAGTTTCCAAGAAGTTATCGAGGGCATTAAGTGAGGAATTACCGTACACCAAGATCCATGAAAGCAAAATGAGATTCTGTTTCTTGATCAGCTCCTGGGGCAGACTTGTTTAACGTGTGTGGTTCTCCCCTCCGGGCCTCCCTAGCAGGTGATGTGACACTCAAGGAACAGCTCGATTCCCAGCCTGGCGACCTGTTGCACTAGGCAGCCTATTTAATGAACTAAACAAATGTCTTTTGTGACAGGCAGTCAGAAATGGACAGCTGTCAAGTTTCACGCACTTTCAGTACCACTGAAAGTGGAGCAGTCATTACTGCAACCACTGTAGGAAGGGAGCAGAGATAAATAAGCTGAATTCCCTGTAATTATTAGTATTATTATTTTGCAGTTTTGGGCCGGGGCTGGGTTTGAACCCACCACCTCCAGCATATGGGGCCGGCACCCTACTCCTTTGAGCCATAGGCACCGCCCCCCCGTAATTATTTTTTAATATATGATTCACCTGCCCAGGGCTCTGAGGCCCCTGAAGTTTGTTCTTCCACAAACACCAGCATGGGGCTATTCAAACTCCACACCAGGTTCCCTGGTTTTGTGAAGGTTTGCTCTGCCGATGTGATGCCCTGCCTTTTTGTTTGTTTTTTCTTAAGACAGCCTCTTGGAGAAAAGCAATGAATTTAAAGTAACAACATATTTAGTATGCAGAAGAGGGCAGAGTTCTGAGTGCTCCTGGACCACAAAGAGAAAAAGACTGGCCTCTGTGAGCCGACTGTGTCCAGCCTTTCCCTGCCCAGCTACGTTCCCTCACCACCCCAAAACCCATCTGGGGATTTACAGGCCACTAGACGGTGTACTTTATTTCCCCTTCAACAGACTGATCTGCAGATTATGTGTTGTTCTGAGATAAAGCTAGAAACAGTCCATCCCTTTTCATCTGGAAGTCAAGTATTAGCTTATGTAAGTAGGCACAGAGCTGTGAGACTATTTCTCTGACTTGTCAATTCATTAAACAGTCATTGAGCCACCACAAGCAATGTATCATAGTAGGAAAAACGACTAAGACACGATTCATCCCAAAACTATATGTAAAAGGGAGTGGGAATACAAACTTACTTTCCCATGGTGCCAAAACTGGGAAGGAGGACCTCAATGCAAACAAAACATTTCTATTAAATAGTTCCAAATAGTCTTTTAATTAATTAATTAGTTACCTTTCTTTCTTTCTTTCTTTTTTTTTTTTTTTGAGATAGAGCCTCAAGCTGTCGCCCTGGGTAGAGTGCAATGGCATCACAGCTCACAGCAACCTCCAATTCCTGGGCTCAAGCGATTCTCCTGCCTCTGCCTCCCAAGTAGCTGGGACTACAGGTGCCCGCCACAATGCCCGGCTATTTTTTGGTTGCAGCCATTGTTGTTTGGCGGACCTGGGCTGCATTTGAACCTGCCAGCTCAGGTGTATGTGGCTGGCACCTTAGCAGCTTGAGCCACAGGCACCGAGTCAGTTACCTTCCTTTTTTTTGAGACAGAGTCTCACTATGTCACCCTCAGTAGAGTGCCGTTGCATCACAGCTCACAGTAACCTCAAACTCTTGGGCCTAAGCAATTGTCTTGCCTCAGTCTCCCAAGTAGCTAGGACTACAGGCGCCTGCCACAATGCCCAGCTATTTTTTGTTGTTGTTGCCATTGTTTTGTTTTGTTTTGTTTTGAGATGGCCCAGGTCAGATTTGAACCCACCAGCCTTGGTGTATATGGCCGGTGCCCTACCCACTGAGCTATGGGTGCCGCCCAAATGAGTTACTTTAGAGATAGGGTTTCACACTGCTGCCCACTCTGGAGTCCAGTAGCATGATAACAGCTCACTGCATGCAGTCTCAAACTCTTGACCTCAAGAGATCCTTCTACCTACAACTCTGGAAGAGCTGGGAAAACAGATGCATGTCACCACATCCATCTAACTCTTACAATTTTTGTAGTGACAAGGTCTCACTATGATATCCAGACTGGTGTCAAACTTCTGGCCTTGAGAGATCTTCCCATCTCAGCTTCCCAGAGTGCCGAGATTACAGGTGTGTTTACAGCCAAGTTTACTCTTTTGAGACAGGGTCTCACTATATTGCTCAGACTTGGCCTTCGGCTCCTGGTCTTGAGATCCTCCTGCCTGTACCTCCTGGGAGTATTCAATTTTTAGAATCATCTAGCCCTGGAATAAATGAATGCTCTGCTTTTATAAGGTACTTGGAAGAAATTACTTATCATATACTTTGTTTAAAATTGACCAATATTACAGCATTTCAGGGGACAGGAACCTTCAACATGAGATGCACAGGCAGCAAGCTCAAATGCAACTACACAGCAGTAACTGAACTGGCCAACCTGGGCTGTGCCAGTTCCTTCTCTTTCCCCAGTCCCTCGAGCTCTCTAGGAAGAGTTTGTTCATCTCTGGGTAATTACCTAGAGAGGACCTCACGTTTCAGAGTGTGCAGAATCAGTGGAGGACACCTGTGTGGCCTTTGTCACATGTGAGCAGGAGTCAGCCGGGCACCAATACATCGTGAAAACCAAACACCACACATCTGACCTCATCACCTCCCTTTTCATATTAGAGAAAACTGGGCCTCCAGCTCAGAGAAGGTAAATAACCTAATCCAGCCCCAGGACATAGGTCGAAACGGGGACATCTTTGTCCCTATTGCCTCTCTGGGTCTGAGTAAAAATACAGATTTGAAATTTAGACCCTTATCAGGAAAGGATACTAACTTTGTAAGCCTCGTGTCTGGTATCCAAAACCACACATTATCCAATCTTGAGGAAATGCTACACCACAAACACTTGTTACAGGATTTAAACATAAACCCACTTTAATCCAACACCAACCAAAGGCTCACCTAAGACACCCGACACCGAACAGCCAGTCCCAGACATGGCTCCTACTCACTCCTGGAGAAGTCTCAGTTCTCACAGCGTCAAGCCACATTCTCTCAATGCAAAAGAACACTGGTCCTGCAGCCTCAGTTTCCCACAGACACGCCCCACAAAGTGGTTTAAAATTTCAAAATTCTCCGCTTTTACAAAGGGCCCATACATTAATGCCTATTTGTAAAACTTTTTTTTTTTTCCAAGCTGTCACCCTGGGTAGAGTGCTATTGCATCACAGCTCACAGCAACCTCCAACTCCTGGGCTCAAGTGATTCTCTTGCCTCTGCCTCCCAAGTAGCTGGAACTACAGGCGCCCACCACACACGGGCTATTTTTTGGTTTTAGCCGTCACTGTTGTTTGGCAGGCCCGGGCTGGATTTGAACCTGCCAGCTCAGGTGTATATGGCTGGTGCCTTAGCTGCTTGAGCCACAGGCGCTGAGCCTTTATTTTATTTTATTTCTTTTAGAGACACAGTCTCACTTTGTCACCTTTGGCAGAGTGCCATGGCATTACAATTCGCAGCAACCTCCAGCTCTTGGGCTTAGGCGATTCTCTTGCCTCAGCCTCCTGAGTAGCTGGGACTACAGGTGCTCACCACAACGCCTGACTATTTTGTGTTGTTACTGCAGTTTGGCCGAGGCTGGGTTTGAACACGCCACCCTCAGTATATGGGGCCGGCACCCTACTCACTGAGCCACAGGCACCACCCTGTAAAATCATTCTTAATGACATTGTTCATTGTTACTCAATGACCTTTGGGAAAGCCTGTGCCATTAATCCTATTTCAAGCTTACTCCATGGAAAATATCATCTCTGGAAATGAATGCTCATACTATCTCTTATCGTGGGCTTTTCATTTATCCTGTCCTGACAGAGCACCTTGATCCAGCCTCACCACTCAAACACAGGCACTATGTCTTTTTTTTTTTTTTTGAGACAGAGCCTTAAGTTATCCCCCTGGGTAGAGTGTCGTGGCATCACAGCTCACAGAAACCTCCAAATCCTGGGCTTAAGCGAGTCTC